ACTTATGCAATTTGTACGTTACTAGCCAGCTACCCAGCTAGTTCCTCACTCTACAAGCCATCTACCCAGCTAGCTCCTCACCCTACTAGCCAGCTACCTAGCTAGCTCCTCACACTACTAACCAGCTACCCAGCTAGCTCCTCACCTTACTAGCCAGCTAGCTCCTCACTCTACTAGCCAGCTACCCAGCTAGCTCTTCACCCTACTAGCCAGCTACCCAGCTAGCTCCTCACCCTACTAGCCAGCTACCCAGCTAGCTCCTCACTCTACTAGCCAGCTACCCAGCTAGCTCCTCACTCTACTAGCCAGCTACCCAGCTAGCTCCTCACCCTACTAGCCAGCTACCCAGCTAGCTCCTCACTCTACTAGCCAGCTACCCAGCTAGCTCCTCACCCTACTAGCCAGCTACCCAGCTAGCTCCTCACCCTACTAGCCAGCTACCCAGCTAGCTCCTCACTCTACTAGCCAGCTACCCAGCTAGCTCCTCACTCTACTAGCCAGCTACCCAGCTAGCTACTCACCCTACTAGCCAGCTACCCAGCTAGCTCCTCACCCTACTAGCCAGCTATCCAGCTAGCTCCTCACACTACTAGCCAGCTACACAGCTAGCTCCTCACCCTACAAGCCAGCTACCCAGCTAGCTCCTCACTCTACTAGCCAGCTACACAGCTAGCTCCTCACCCTACAAGCCAGCTACCCAGCTAGCTCCTCACTCTACTAGCCAGCTACCCAGCTAGCTCCTCACTCTACTAGCCAGCTACCCAGCTAGCTCCTCACACTACTAGCCAGCTACCCAGCTAGCTCCTCACTCTACTAGCCAGCTACCCAGCTAGCTCCTCACCTTACTAGCCAGCTACCCAGCTAGCTCCTCACCCTACTAGCCAGCTACCCAGCTAGCTCCTCACCCTACTAGCCAGCTACCCAGGTAGCTCCTCACCTTACTAGCCAGCTACCTAGCTAGCTCCTCACTCTACTAGCCAGCTACACAACTAGCTCCTCACACTACTAGCCAGCTACCCAGCTAGCTCCTCACTCTACTAGCCAGCTACCCAGCTAGCTCCTCACTCTACTTGCCAGCTACCCAGCTAGCTCCTCACCCTACTAGCCAGCTACCCAGCTAGCTCCTCACTCTACTAGCCAGCTACCCAGCTAGCTCCTCACCCTACAAGCCAGCTACCCAGTTAGCTCCTCACCCTACTAGCCAGCTACCCAGCTAGCTCCTCACACTACTACCCAGCTACCCAGCTAGCTGCTCATACTACTAGCCAGCTACCCAGCTAGCTCCTCACCTTACTAGCCAGCTACCCAGCTAGCTCCTCACTCTACTATCCAGCTACACAACTAGCTCCTCACACTACTAGCCAGCTACCCAGCTAGCTCCTCACTCTACTAGCCAGCTACCCAGCTAGCTCCTCACACTACTAGCCAGCTACCCAGCTAGCTCCTCACCTTACTAGCCAGCTACCCAGCTAGCTCCTCACCCTACTAGCCAGCTACCCAGCTAGCTCCTCACCCTACTAGCCAGCTACCCAGCTAGCTCCTCACCCTACTAGCCAGCTACCCAGCTAGCTCCTCACCTTACTAGCCAGCTACCCAGCTAGCTCCTCACTCTACTATCCAGCTACACAACTAGCTCCTCACACTACTAGCCAGCTACCCAGCTAGCTCCTCACTCTACTAGCCAGCTACCCAGCTAGCTCCTCACTCTACTAGCCAGCTACCCAGCTAGCTCCTCACACTACTAGCCAGCTACCCAGCTAGCCCCTCACTCTACTAGCCAGCTACCCAGCTAGCTCCTCACCCTACTAGCCAGCTACACAGCTAGCTACTCACCCTACTAGCCAGCTACCCAGCTAGCTCCTCACCCTACTAGACAGCTACCCAGCTAGCTCCTCACCCTACTAGCCAGTTACCCAGCTAGCTCCTCACCTTACTAGCCAGCTACCCAGCTAGCTCCTCATCCTACTAGCCAGCTACACTGCTAGCTCCTCACTCTACTAGCCAGCTACCCAGCTAGCTCCTCACACGACTAGCCAGCTTCCCAGCTAGCTCCTCACTCTACTAGCCAGCTACCCAGCTAGCTCCTCACTCTACTAGCCAGCTACACAGCTAGCTCCTCACCCTACTAGCCAGCTACCCAGCTAGCTCCTCACTCTACTAGCCAGCCACCCAGCTAGCTCCTCACACTACTAGCCAGCTACCCAGCTAGCTCCTCACACTACTAGCCAGCTACCCAGCTAGCTCCTCACCCTACTAGCCAGCTACCCAGCTAGCTCCTCACCCTACTAGCCAGCTACCCAGCTAGCTCCTCACCCTACTAGCCAGCTACCCAGCTAGCTCCTCACTCTACTAGCCAGCTACCCAGCTAGCTCCTCACACTACTAGCCAGCTACACAGCTAGCTCCTCACCCTACTAGCCAGCTACCCAGCTAGCTCCTCACTCTACTAGCCAGCTACCCAGCTAGCTCCTCACTCTACTAGCCAGCTACCCAGCTAGCTCCTCACCCTACTAGCCAGCTACCCAGCTAGCTCCTCACCCTACTTTCGAAAACATATGGTTATTCTAAATTGTCTTATGGTTGTTGTCGTTCTTGGCTTGCACCACATTGTGATTTTTGCACACAGCGTTTTAATAAGTTTGTTTTGCGTGTAATATTTGCTGGTTGAATTCCAGGATGTTTCTGTTGCGCGTCGTCATTTTGGGATGTTCTGTATTAAAATTTTGTTTGTTGCGGTTGCACCCGACTTAAGAGCCGCATGGCTCACAGGGCTACACCTAATAAATGAAACTTGAACTTGAAATCCGTGGTGGTTGGCGGTCATGATGCGTTCTCATTGTTGGTGGTGGAGGAATGTCTGCAATTGGCATTGTTGATGGTGATTGGACCAGCTTGATGTCATTGTTGATGGTGATTGGACAAACTTGATGTCATTGTTGATGGTGATTAGACAAACTTGATGTCATTGTTGATGGTGATTGGACAAACTTGATGTCATTGTTGATGGTGATTGGACAAGCTTGATGTCATTGTTATTGGTGATTGGACCAGCTTATTGGCATTGTTAATGGTGATTGGACCAGCTTGATGGTATTGTTAATGGTGATTGGACCAGCTTGATGGTGTTGATGGTGATTGGACCAGCTTGATGGGATTGTTGATGGTGATTGGACCAGCTTGATGGTTTTGTTGATGGTGATTGGACCAGCTTGATGGTATTGTTGATGGTGATTGGACCAGCTTGATGGTATTGTTAATGGTGATTGGACCAGCTTGATGGTATTGTTAATGGTGATTGGACCAGCTTGATAGTATTGTTGATAGTGATTGGACCAGCTTGATGGTATTGTTGATGGTGATTGGACCAGCTTGATGGTATTGTTGATGGTGATTGGACCAGCTTGATGGTATTGTTGATGGTGATTGGACCAGCTTGATGGTATTGTTGATGGTGATTGGACCAGCTTGATGGTATTGTTGATGGTGATTGGACCAGCTTGATGGTACTGTTGATGGTGATTGGACCAGCTTGATGGTATTGTTGATGGTGATTGGACCAGCTTGATGGTATTGTTGATGGTGATTGGACCAGCTTGATGGTATTGTTGATGGTGATTGGACCAGCTTGATGGTATTGTTGATGGTGATTGGACCAGCTTGATGGTATTGTTGATGGTGATTGGACCAGCTTGATGGTATTGTTGATGGTGATTGGACCAGCTTGATGGTATTGTTGATGGTGATTGGACCAGCTTGATGGTATTGTTGATGGTGATTGGACCAGCTTGATGGTATTGTTGATGGTGGAGCATTGATGCCAGCGACTCTGGCCACGACAATGGATGTGAAGTAGGGGTCACGTGTTGTTCTTAACAGTCAAGGTGGGGGGTTTGGGGGGGCAAGCTTCCCTCTCTTCAATAAAACATTCCCCATATTAAATCCACACAGAGTTTTTTTTTTTGGGGGGGGGGGGGCAGGCGGGGCGGTGATGACGATGGTGAAGATCTTTCGGTATCGGCACCAAAGATAAAGATCCCCCGTATAGCCTTAACAGACTGCTGGGACAAGTGCTGCTAGCGAGCACCGATAAAGCCCGGCACGGCACACGAACGAGTGGGTGGCCAACGCCACGCCCGGCCGTCTTTGTCTCCACGGCGGCGATGATGTTTACACACCGCACCAGGTACTCATTTGAGGCTGAGCCAACCTCGTGGAGGCCCAGGACCGGTTCAGATAATCGTCACTGGGTGTTAGCCATTAAGCAGGAATTGAACCCGGGTCGCTAACCGCTCCCGGTAATGAGCACCACCACCACCACCACTTCCATCATCGGCACCACCGCCAGGGGATTTCAGCCGATGCGAGCTAAAGAGCAACGCGGAGGCGAACAAAGCTTCCAGACGACGACGACGACGACGATGATGCATGGGGAGGAGAGAGAGGGGGAGGGGGGGAAGAAAAACCACCGCAAAACTCCAGAAGTAAAGACGTAATTAAGGACACACTCGGCAAGCTAAACGTCACCACATGCACGCCGCAGCAGCAGACGAGCGGCGGCGGTAGCCGCGGTAAGAAATTCGCTCTCATCGTCATCATGGGGGGGGGGCAGGGGTGGGTGGGGTGGGTGGGGGGGGCTTGCGTCGTCTTCCGTCTCGGCTTTCGCTCGAGCGGCGCTCGTTTATTACGCGAGCCTTGGGGGGGCAGCAGGGGGGGGGGGGGGGCACTGCACATGCAAAGCTTGCAGCGAGTCGGCAGTGGGTGGGGAGCGGAGGGAGGGGTCGCCAGGTCAGAAGCGGCACCTCTCCACGTGTGGAGCTCTCTCGCTGTCACCACCGGGTGGAGCGGAGCATAGCGATTGCTCACAGGGGGTGGGGTCCAAGTGCGGCCCCGGCGGGGGAGAGAGAGATCCGTACTTAATTTTAAATAATAAGTTATGGTCAGCGACTTGCCTAGCTCTCCCTTATGCTTTGCACTCATGCCGTTGTGTTTTTGTTCCGTTTGTCGTTGTGAATTTGTCTGACGCGCCCCTTAAACTGAATATTTTGTGGGAAAAAAGCGCTTCGTAGCTCATCGGATTTCTAACCAGTCTAAAATCGAGATTCCGATTCTGGACGGCTCGCAGCAATCAGAAATGTCGCGCGAGTTCAAATCCTGGTTGGGGGTTGACTCCGCCCATCATCCCTCTGGGGCCGATAGAATTAGTACCATTTTGTGGGCAAGTCAACAGTGGTTGTCCGATGGAACGTCTCGCCCCCGCCATAGGAATGCGGATTTTCCCACTACTGGCTGTAGGCAATTGGGCAAGAAATCACTTTGACTTTTTTCGAAATAATTTTAGTTTTGGATCGTCGTTTTTAATTTAAATCAGCTATTTCGCTCATTTTGTAGTCGACTAATAAAACCACGAGTTCACACCCTGGCCCTGACCAGAGAGCCACTCTTCAGGATTATCAATCGCGGCCGTTCCGTGGGCAGACTGCTCCCTGGCATGGGAATGTGGAATTTCCACTTTTGACTCGGGGCTGCCGACTGAGACGAGCAGAGCCCCGCGATTCGCCCGAGCAGTACATCGGTTAAGCCTCTCTGATTGTGAATTCGGGTTTGTTCCCGCGTGTTGTCTGGGCGCCATGTCCGAAGTTTCGCTCCACGTGCTGGGGGTTGCCGCCAGCCAATCGAATTCTTCGCTTTCAAAGAACTTCAGGAGAAGCTGAAGGATTTCTCCCCGGCTTGTGGTGCCACAAACGTCGGACAGGACGTCACGCCGCCGACGATACGCAGCGTCAACCGTTCGCAATTCGATTTAAAACGTCGACCGCTGTTTGCAATCGCCAGACTCTGCAGAGGTTTCAACTTCTGATTGTGGCCACGTAGGGGTGGGGGGAATGTGGGAGCGCAGGCTGGGTAGGGAAAGTGGGAATGGGGTACAGCGTGGGGTTGGAGGCATTAGAGGGTCTCGGAGCAGAGCGCTCGCTCCAGCTCATTCCTGTAGAGCTTCCCGCCGTCCGAGAGGGCCATGATGTTCTTGCGGTAGACCGTCATGGCCTGGATGTCCGTCTCCTGTGGGACACAGTGCACACACGCGCATACACACATACACACACAGTGCACACACGCACGCACACACACACACGAGTGGTGAGCGCGCTGTGGACAACCGCATCGGTGGCTCGGAGATGTTAACTACCTCACCTGGTATGCTGGAGGTTGTGGGTTCGAACCCAACCGAGACGCCTGTATATATGGAGTTTGCGTGTTCTCCCCCCGTGGTCGCGTGGATTTTTCTCCGGGTCCTCCGGTTTCCCCCCCCTTCACATTTAGTATCAACATCACGTGTTTAGAGTATTTAGCTACTGCTAGAAGTGGCCACGCGACAGCCACTTTGTTGAGCTATCATTTGTGGCCAGGTCGCTGCTGAAAAATGGCAACTGGACATAGCGGTACAGTGGAAGGACAACAAACTAAACACAAAAGCAGCTCTACGCTGCACGTGGCTACGCTGCACGTGGCTACGCTGCACGTGGCTGCTGCTGCACGTGACTGCTGCTGCACGTGGCTACGCTGCACGTGGCTGCTGCTGCACGTGACTGCTGCTGCACGTGGCTACGCTGCACGTGGCTACGCTGCACGTGACTGCTGCTGCACGTGGCTACGCTGCACGTGGCTGCTGTTGCACGTGACTGCTGCTGCACGTGGCTGCTGCTGCACGTGACTGCTGCTGCACTGACTGCTGCTGCACGTGGCTACGCTGCACGTGGCTATTCTGCAAGTGGCTATGCTGCACATGGCTACGCTGCACATGGCTACGCTGCACGTGGCTACGCTGCACGTGACTGACTGCTGTGATCCAGCGCTGTGGAGGCAGCAGCGAGGGTTGGTGGATTACACACAGATGGGCTGTGAAACTCCCTTCCCGTGGGTGGGGCTTCCAGGAGGTGCCCGTACCCAGGCTCTGCCAGAGGGCGGTACAACAAGCGGACTGATCGCACATCTGTTTCCATCTGTACGGAGGGATAGAGCGTTGCGCCCTCGCGCAAGCCCTGGGGTGTATCTGGGTGCTCGGTTTCCTCTTCCGACTTGTGTAACAAACACAACTCACCATGCATTGTCTGAAAATATCTGAGAATAAAAAAACAAATGTAGCGTCAGGGTCCTGTTGAACAAGAGACCTCCGACTTAATTGTGATTCTAACGGATAAATAAGTAAATTACGAGAATAAATAAATAGATAATGTTGCATATACAACGCGGTTGTGGACGGGAATTGTCCAGAGTGGGAGTGGGTAGCAAACGGGACAACTTTCCCCCAGTCCTAACACGAAATCGGGGCACCACATTATGAGTTGTGTTTGTCATTGCTCCTCGTGATGAATGAGGAGGGCGGGGGGGGCACCATCACGTGGCGTTCTGCCCCGGGGGCTTCCTCCGGGACGGCTCTGGGCGGCGACGCGGCTCGTGATGCTGATGACACTCGACTCAACTGGCACGGACTCTCAGCGACTCGCCATCTTCACCGGCTCTCTTACTAACCGACTCTCTAACTCAGGGGTCCCCAACCCCCGGGCCGCGGACCGGTACCGGTCCGTGGCCTGTTAGGAACCGGGACACACAGCAGGAGGTGAGAATGGTGAGTCCGCGTGGCCCGTCCATCATTTTATTATTTACCACTTCCGTCCGCGCCTCTTTCCCGCACTGCGCACTTGTCTCAGTCACAGTGTTGGTAAGCCCACAAGCTAACCCCTAGCAGCCAAAATGAGTAAAAAACAAACGTCGCTGGAGAACTTCTTTGAAAAGGTCCGTGAAAAAATTGTCTCCCAGGAAACCGGTCCCTGGTGCCAAAAAGGTTGGGGACCGCTGCTCTAACTCACCGACTCTCTAACTCACCGACTCTCTTACTCACCGACTCTCTAGCTCACCGACTCGCTAACTCACCGACTCTCTAACTCACCGACTCTCTTACTCACCGACTCTCTAACTCACCGACTCGCTAACCCCCCGACTCTCTCACTCACCGACTCTCTGACTCACCGACTATCTAACTCAACGACTCTCTAACTCACCGACTCTCTAACTCACCGACTCTCTTACTCACCGACTCTCTTACTCACCGACTCTCTCACTCACCGACTCTCTAACTCACCGACTATCTAACTCACCAACTCTCTTACTCACCAACTCTCTAACTCACCGACTCTCTAACTCACCGACTATCTAACTCACCGACTCTCTTACTCACCGACTATCTAACTCACCGACTCTCTTACTCACCAACTCTCTAACTCACCGACTCTCTCACTCACCGACTCTCTAACTCACCGACTATCTAACTCACTGACTCTCTTATTCAGACTCTCTAACTCACCGACTCTCTTACTCACCGACTTTCTTACTCACCGACTCTCTTACTCACCGACTCTCTTACTCACCGACTCTCTTACTCACCGACTCTCTTACTCACCGACTCTCTCACTCACCGACTCTCTAACTCACCGACTCTCTAACTCACCGACTATCTAACTCACCGACTCTCTAACTCACCGACTCTCTAACTCACCGACTCTCTAACTCACCGACTCTCTTACTCACCGACTCTCTAACTCACCGACTCTCTAACTCACCGACTCTCTAACTCACCGACTCTCTAACTCACCGACTCTCTAACTCACCGACTCTCTTACTCACCGACTCTCTAACTCACCAACTCTCTAACTCACCGACTCTCTCACTCACCGACTCTCTAACTCACCGACTCTCTTACTCACCGACTCTCTAACTCACCGACTCGCTAACCCCCCGACTCTCTCACTCACCGACTCTCTGACTCACCGACTATCTAACTCAACGACTCTCTAACTCACCGACTCTCTAACTCACCGACTCTCTTACTCACCGACTCTCTTACTCACCGACTCTCTCACTCACCGACTCTCTAACTCACCGACTATCTAACTCACCAACTCTCTTACTCACCAACTCTCTAACTCACCGACTCTCTAACTCACCGACTATCTAACTCACCGACTCTCTTACTCACCGACTATCTAACTCACCGACTCTCTTACTCACCAACTCTCTAACTCACCGACTCTCTCACTCACCGACTCTCTAACTCACCGACTATCTAACTCACTGACTCTCTTATTCAGACTCTCTAACTCACCGACTCTCTTACTCACCGACTCTCTTACTCACCGACTCTCTTACTCACCGACTCTCTTACTCACCGACTCTCTTACTCACCGACTCTCTTACTCACCGACTCTCTCACTCACCGACTCTCTAACTCACCGACTCTCTAACTCACCGACTATCTAACTCACCGACTCTCTAACTCACCGACTCTCTAACTCACCGACTCTCTAACTCACCGACTCTCTTACTCACCGACTCTCTAACTCACCGACTCTCTAACTCACCGACTCTCTAACTCACCGACTCTCTAACTCACCGACTCTCTAACTCACCGACTCTCTTACTCACCGACTCTCTAACTCACCAACTCTCTAACTCACCGACTCTCTCACTCACCGACTCTCTAACTCACCGACTCTCTAACTCACCGACTCTCTTATTCAGACTCTCTAACTCACCGACTCTCTTACTCACCGACTCTCTAACTCACCGACTCTCTAACTCACCGACTCTCTAACTCACCGACTCTCTAACTCACCGACTCTCTAACTCACCGACTCTCTAACTCACCGACTCTCTTACTCACCGACTCTCTAACTCACCGACTCTCTTACTCACCGACTCTCTTACTCACCGACTCTCTAACTCACCGACTCTCTTACTCACCGACTCTCTAACTCACCGACTCTCTAACTCACCGACTCTCTTACTCACCGACTCTCTAACTCACCGACTCGCTAAGTCACCGACTCTCTTACTCACCAACTCTCTTACTCACCGACTCTCTAACTCACCGACTCTCTAACTCACCGACTCTCTAACTCACCGACTCTCTAACTCACCGACTCTCTTACTCACCGACTCTCTAACTCACCGACTCTCTAACTCACCGACTCTCTAACTCACCCACTCTCTAACTCACCGACTCTCTTACTCACCGACTCTCTTACTCACCGACTCTCTAACTCACCGACTCTCTTACTCACCGACTCTCTTACTCACCGACTCTCTAACTCACCGACTCTCTTACTCACCGACTCTCTAACTCACTGACTCTCTAACTCACCGACTTTCTAACTCACCGACTCTCTAACTCACCGACTCTCTTACTCACCGACTCTCTAACTCACCGACTCTCTTATTCACCGACTCTCTAACTCACCGACGCTCTCACTCACCGACTCTCTAACTCACCGACTCTCTAACTCACCGACTCTCTAACTCACCGACTCTCTAACTCACCGACTCTCTAACTCACCGTCTCGCTAACTCACCGTCTCGCTAACTCACCGACTCTCTAACTCACCAACTCACCGACTCTCTAACTCACCGACTCGCTAACTCACCGTCTCGCTAACTCACCGACTATCTAACTCACCGACTGTCTAACTCACCGACTCTCTTATTCAGACTCTCTAACTCACCGACTCTCTAACTCACCGACTCTCTAACTCACCGACTCTCTAACTCGCTAACTCACCGACTCGGCGAACCGGGCCGGCCCTGGTCCAATCGGATCGCAACCTCCTGCGACCCCAAAGCTGTCCTCCTGATGAGCGCTGCGAGGCAACGCACCATCGCTGCACCGTCGAGCGCCCCACTCTCCGCTCACTTCCTCTCGGAGCCTTCAAAGCGACGCGCGAGTTTGTCCCAGCGGCGATAAAACAAAAAACCTGCGTTTCAACTATTATTAAAATATAAATATACCAGGTAAAGGCCCACTTAGCTGCGTAGCTCGTTTTTTCAGAAGCGACGTTGGCAATCACAAATGGTCACTCAACGAAGTGATTAATCATCGCGTGGAAAATGTGTAGCAGCCAAATACTCTAAATCAGTCGTTCTTAACCTTTACTGCAGCCCGCACCCCTTTTATTCTCATTAGTTAGAAACACATAATGTTAATAAATGCATGTGTCATTAAACAAAGT